TCCTAGAAGCACAGTGGCCTGAGAGCATGGACGTTCTCAGAAAACCCTGCCGGTGTTACTTGAAGTCCAGCCAGGTCGCCCCCTTCTGCTAGGCACCTCTGATGTTCCAGACCCTTCAGGCTTCGCAGCGATGCTTCCGTGGCTAGGTAACCAGGTGCTCAGGAAGAGGACAACTGGTCCTCTTGAGTCCACCGGTGCAAGCCAGGGACCTTCTGGATTGAACCCCTTCCTCCTTTGTCATTGGCCAAACCTGCTGGGCCTGCTTCATGCCCACATACGTGGCTCACCCTCTATTCCTCGTGTCCTCTGGACACAGAACCCTGGACAGGAGCCTCTAGCAAGTGAACAGATTGGCTTAGCCCCTCACCAGCCAATGGATCCACGGGGAGCCCACTGGTGAGGGAATGCCAAGGAAGTGAGATTCTGAGCCAGATGGACTCGGCTGCAGAGACTATCGGCTCTTCCCAGCCCTGAGACATTAATGTGACAGGTGACAGCAGTGGTGGGCCAGAAGGCAGTCTCCAAGTCCACCATTACCCACCAGGAGCAGTTGGCCACCAGCTGCAAGATGGATCAGCCAGGGGCCACTGCCTGACACAGCTCAGCTGTGGACTCACGGAAGCTCATGGAAAGAATGACATTAAATGAGCACACAAGGTCGCCTGAAAAACACAAAGGAAAATTAGGCTTGGCCCCTAAGAGAAATCCACCTTTTTTTGCCAGGTGTTCCAGGTTGTAGGTGGATTCCAAAGGGTAGATGCTGACCTTGACTTTGGCAGGAAGGACGTTGCATCTGCAAAGGGAGACAAGCCCATGAGCAGATGGGGGTTTATGAGTACAGGTTGACATTTGAAGCTGACGTAGGGATGCAGAAGGAGCCCTGATGGCACTCTTGGGCTATCATTGGACTGCTAACCATGAGGTTGGCAGTTCAAACCCACCAGCCACAGTGTGCGAGAAAGAAGAGGCTTGTCTGCTGAGTTAGTCTCAGAACCCTATAGAGTTACTGTTAGTTAGAATTGACGTGGTGGCAGTGGGTTGGGTTGGGTTGGGTTTGGGTTGGGATACATAATGACTTCTCTTAGGGAAAATCCATGAGGATAGTTAGAAGAAACTTTCCCTGGGTGGTGCCAACCAGGAAATGATCGCAGCTCAGTTGGGAGTTCAGTTCCCTGAAAGAAAGGTCTGCTGATCTGAAAGAAAAACAGCCATGGAAAGTCGTGTTGGAACACAGATCCATGCTGACATGCGTGCAGGGGTTGCATGACTTGGATATTCTCAATGACCACTTGAAGCCCCAGCTACACAAGGAAGAGTTGACTGCTCCCTTCACATATCTAAAAAGGAGCTTCAGAAAGTTTGTGGGGACATTCCATTGTCTTTTGGTTTCTTCCTACCCCCATCCTCGTTCCAAAGACTGGACGTGGCTGGAGTCAAGCATGAGAGCCTCTGGGTTAATAGCTATCAGAGAGAGGAGACTTCTTCTTTTGTTAATCTCTCAATGTCTCTTCATTTCTTTCGGGGTGAAACCATATACAACACAACATGCACCATTCCAACAATTGCCAAGGGTACAATCCGGCGACGCTGGTGACATTCAAGCAGTGACCCTTTCCTCAATGACCCTCCCCAAAGTGTGCCCCATCATGAACACAAACTCTGGTGTGTGTTCTCCTCTCGGGCTTCTCATCGATCCTTTCTCGTTGCCATCATCCGTTTGATCACACATCCTTCTGTAGAAGAGGAGATACTGAAGGCAGACACGCTTTCCTAAGCAGGTTATCCACTCTGTGGTTCCATGATGACTTTGGGGGATGGTTTTGCTTCAAGGTTTAAAGATTTCCTCAGAGTCATGGTTTGGAGAAAAACTTCTGGACAGCCTTGTCTGCGCTCGGTACTTCTGCCATTCATGCCTGGCTGACTCCGCTCCGCATTCCACGTGCTGGGGTTGCCGGGACCTTGACCTCATTTAGCTTCTGTCCTTCGGGGCTCCCGAACACTGACCCTCTGCCACCCTCTCTCTCTCAGAGCACCCTTCTCCTGGTTTCCCACCAAGTGCCTCAGAGCACACAGTTCCCCTTTCATGCATTCCCAGGGCTGCACCTACCACCACCGCCAAGCTCAGGGATCATATCTGTTTCCTGCCTACACTCTCTTCCGACCCTCCACATCCGTCTATCCCAGTGGTCCTTAACCTTCCTCATGCCCGGACCCTTTCATACAGTTCCTCATGTGGTGGTGAGCCCCCCTCCCCAACCATAAAATTATTTTCGTTGCTACTTCATCACTGTCATTTTGCTACTGTGATGAATCGGGCGACCCCTGTAAAAGGGTTGTTTGACCCCCAAAGGGGTCGAGACCCACAGGTTGAGAACCACTGGTCTGTCCTGTCACTTGTTCAGCATCTCCACTTGAGTCTCTCAAAAGCACCTCCGATGCTTGTAAGCCCAGCTGCCCCTCTCCTCTCAGGCCTGGCCCACTGCCCCTCCCTCCAGACCTGACCCACTATCCCTCTCCTCTTAGATTTGACCCCTGTCCCCCCAGACCTAGAGCCTGGCATTGCCCGTTGTTGACCCAGAGGAACCCACCCACCTCGACTCCCCCCCACCCATAACTCTGCCCTCCAGAGCTGTTCATGTTAGTTTCCAGAAACTCTGTTTTGTTCTTTTCTCTCCACCATCACTTCCCTCGGCCCCCATGGCCCTGCTGGCCCGGCCCTCATCCCTTGTCCCTCTGTTTCCTGCATTCAAACCACATGAGCCCCATGCTCGCAGTGTCCCCTCTTCCGTGCTGCAGGGTCCGCGTCACCATGCCGTCTCCTGGGGTATCTTTTCCTCCTGTCCAGCTCCCTCAAGCATCTTTCTCAGGATGGCCTTTCTCTCCTCTTGGTCCATGTCAGGCTCCCTGGTCCACAGAGAGCCCCGTTCTCCTCCTTGTGCATTTTGTTATCTCTTGCTAAGGAGTCAGACATTAACGCCCAAGACCTTTTACCTGACTGCTGTAGCCCTGCTACTTAACCTAGCACCCAGCAGGTAGTTGGTACTCACTACCCCGTTGTTGAATCAATGCATGAATGCTCAAACTCCTGAGCCTGAGACAGCAGTACTGGGTCTGCCACTAGGATGTCCGAGCCCTTGTGATATAGCGGTAATGCACTGGGCTATTTACCACCCGTTGGACAGCACCAGTTGTACAGCACCAGCCACGCCTTGGCAGAAGGATGAGGCTTTTTACTCCCGTAAAGATTTCGTCTTAGAAACAACGTGGGACACGTCTTCCCTGTCCTGTATGGTCGCTCTGATTCAGAATCGACTCGATAGCTTTGTTTCCTTTTGATTAATATTGAAGAAATCACATGATCCTATTTAGGCCTCTCTCAATCACCCTCCATGGGCAACATTCTCTGAGACTCTTCCGTTGGAAACAAACCTCCTTATGTGGGTATGTGAGTGTGGCTTTCAGAGCAGATATTGAACTCCTTCAAAGGTAATAGGTGATTTCTCCAGCCCCGAGAAGGCTTCCTTCTGCCTGCACTACTTTAGAGTGGAGATGGAATCCTGGACATTGTTTAAAAGGTGTGAATTAAATCCATTAGCCCCTGTTGACCCTGGCCTCTGGACACACACTGCTGTGCAGGGAAGGGTTTTTTTCATTTATGCAGTAATTTCTGAATTGGATGGTTAGTAAGGCTCCTTCCCGGTTAGTATCAGCAAGGACGTGAGCACCCTGCCCCAAACCCTGTCCTTGGGGCAGGGCGCTGACGTCACGGGCCTGTTGATTCAGACGCTACCGTGGCTCCAATTATGGGGCGCACCTGCCTTCATGACTTATGTGGATGGGCTTTGAGACAAGGGAGAAAGATAGGGCTTTCTATTCCCATGAAGAGTTGCAGTCTCAGAACCCCACAAGGGCAGTGCTGCCGAGCTCTCTGGGGCACTGAGTCCCCACCAGGATGCCTCTGTAAGGGGCAGTGAGTTTGGTTTGGAATTTTTTAAGCAAGCACCGCCCCCAAAGCCCCGCTCTGCGCTCTGCGCAGGCGCTGCCGTCCCAGGTGCGGCCGCACCCGGGCGGGCATCTCTTCTTGCTCCTGCAGATGCGGCCTTTATAATCCGGAACTGTTTTTCTGGTTTGTGGAAGACCGTGGCTGTCCCCAGACGAAAGGAGTTTGGAAGGCTGGGGGAGTGGGCACTGACTGGCAGCGGAAGCTCCCGTGGAGGGCAGAGTAGGGCGGTGGAAGGGCACGGACGTGTGTGTTCTTTTTGGTTAATGTTCTCAGGTGCTCGCCGAAACGTTGGTTGTTCGGATCCACA